TATAATCTCAGGCACCTTTGCGAGCCAAGCCCAAGCAGATCACTCTTCAAGGTCAGGGGTTCGGAGGACGCAGGCCTGGCCAACCATGGGTGAAACCCCTGGTCTCTACTAAAAAATACAAAATTTAGCCAGCGTGGGTGTGCCGCACACCTGTGAGTTCCCCAGCTACTTGAGGGCTGAGGCAGGAGAATCGCCTTGAAACCTGGGAGGGTGGAGGTGCAGGTGAGGCTGAGACTGGCACCATTGCACCCCAGCCTGGCAACAGAGGCAAGACCCTGCTCCTAAAAACGACAAACAAACAAATAAAATTAAATTAAATCTAACTATAATCCCTAAGATATTTTTTTTATTCAAAACTTGATTTTTTAAAAATCAGTTGTACAGGCTGGCTCACAGGTGGCCTCATAATCCTATAAGGCGCAGCACTTTTGGGAGGCCAAGGCAGGGCAGGATTGCCTGAGGCTTCAAGAATTTCAAGACCGCCGCTGCGACTAACATAGTTTGGGTGAGTGAGACCTTGTCTCTTACAAAAATGATAAATTTTTTTAAAAAATTTAGCCACGGGTGCATCGGTGTGCTTTGTGTGCCTGCTAGTCCATAGCTATTGGGGAGAGCTGAGGCAGTGGAGGATTTCTTGAGCCTCAGCGGGTCCAAGCTGGCCAGTGAGCTATGATTGTCCACTTGCACTCCAGGCGCCTGCGGTAACAAGCCAGACCTTGTCTCTACAAAAATAATAAAGTTAATATAACGCTTCTCGCTTCGCGCGCGAATTAGCCCAAAATACATTAAAAATGTTAATGAATGGTGGGAGTAGAATCGATAACGGTATTGATTTATATAATGCTATGAAAATGAATAAGGGATGGGTAAAGATTCAGGTGTTAAGGATTAATCAAATAATCAAAGGAAACAAATTAGCAAATCCCCTGAAACAAAAGTCAAAATTACTTCAACCTTCGTTGACAATTTTGCCCAGGAAGTGGGGGGGAGCCAAAATCCCAACTACAGGTATTCACTTGAAATAAAATCCATCATCGATTACAGATGTTAAACCTATGAAACTGGATCTGTGCAAACCATAAAGAATGCTAGAAGAAAACACAGGGGGTGGCCGGGGTGCGGTGGGCTCACGCCTGTAATCCCAGCACTTTGGGAGCCGAGGCAGGCAGATCACAACAGTCAGGGGAGATCGGGAGACCACGGTGAAACGAACGTCTCTACTAAAAATACACAAAAATTTAGGCCGGGCGCGGTGCGGCAGGCCGCCTGTAGTCCCAGCTACTCAGGAGGCTGACAGGGAGAATGGCATATGAACCCGGGAGGCGAGCTTGCAGTGAGCGCAAGATCGCGGCCACTGCCTGGGCGACAGCACGAGTCTCCGTCTCAAAAAAAAAAAAAAAGAAAGAAAACACAGGGGTTATTATTTAGTATAATCTTCTCCCAAAAGGAAGATGTTAGGCATAAAGGCAGGGAAGCCACAAAAGTAAATATCGTTTTTTTTTTTTTTTTTTTTTTTTTTTTTTTGACTACCCCATAACTTTTAAAAACATAAAAAGGACTCAAACTCTTTATGTTTTGTTTTTTTTTTTTTTTTTTTTGAGACAGAGCTCTCACTCTGTCGCCCAGGCTGGAGGCGACGCAGTGGCGCGATTTCCACTCACTGCAAGCTCCGCCGCCTCCCGGTTCATGCCATTCTCCTGCCTCAGCCTCCCGAGTAGCTGGGACTACAGGCGCCCACCACCACGCCCGGCCAATTTTTTTGTATTTTTAGTAGAGACGGGGTTTCACTGTGTTTGCCAGGATGGTCTCGATCTCCTGACCTCGTGATCCGCCCACCTCGGCCTCCCAGAGTGCTGGGATTACAGGCATGAGCCACCGCGCCTGGCCTAGGACTAAACTCTTTAGGGAGAACAAAAACTACCATTAACAATTTAGAAGGAAAGCAAAATCACTTTGAAAAATATTTGCAGCCTAACAAAGGATTAATGACCTTTATACATAAAGAGCTTACCAATCAGTAAGGAAAATAATACAATACCAAAATAAAGAAAAGATGTGAACAAGCTATTCATAAAACAAACAGCCAATAAACATATAAAAATTCATATATATTAATCAAAGAATCAACAAAAGAAAATCTTTTCACTTATCAAAATGAAAAAAATTTCTAAAATAATACACAGTGTCATCATGATTTGGAAAGCTGACACATTACTACTGTAGGTGTGATTAAATCATTTTCATGAAGAGGAGAAAATTATGTTTAAGAGAAAAAAACTGATTCTTCACATTTAAAAATTCTATAATGGTATTAACTTTTGTAAGAAACCCTAAGATATTAATAACTATGCATCTTGATTTATTGCTAAAAGCAGTAAGCTGGTTACCTGGAAGACAGTTTGCAACCCTGTTGCAAGTAGGCATTCAGGTTCCCTGTTGCTGCAAGTAACAGCCCCAGGTACGGAGGGGAAGGCTTCATCGGCCTAGAAGAAAACTCAGGATGGAACTGGACACCAACAAAATAAGGATGATCTGAAATGAGAACAATCACGATGCCATTAAAGCAGACAAACAGGAGAACTGCTTTAAAGATCTTCTTATCTTTGAATATGAAAGTTCATTAAATGGCAAGATGATTCTTTAACCTGTTATCATTATAGTCAGTTACTTTCACTATCCATCCATTCCTGCGTGGAATTTGAAATTGTAAAACACATCTTGGAAATTTTACGTGTGGAAGGTGTCAGAGTGAGCAAAGTCAAGCAAAAATTTTTGAACGGCAAGAAGAATTCCACTTTCCTCAAATCTGCCTGCTTTTTGAAGGCACTTTGTAGATTTATGTTGGTTTGATTTCCCTTGGACTTTGGGCTAACCCGGGGTCTTTCTTTCTTTTAGGTGGCTTCAGGCCATTTCCTGCAAGGTCTTCTCCTTTCCCAGGGTAAGGGTCCCCTGAGATAAACCAGCACAATGTCGACCCACTGGGCTACCCTTGGGAACCCAATGAGGACAATTGCTTTTCTAGTCACAGCTTTAAGTTGGGTATTACTCATAGCACCATAAAACTGAGCATTTTTTGAACAAAGTGATTCAGAGCAATGATCCATTCATTCAAATATCCTGTCCCTGGCTATGACTCAAGCTAAAGATAATAAAATATAATAAGTTTAAGAGGGGGAAGTAAATATAACTTTAAAACTTTCAATGAAGTGCTTTATCAAATGATCTAAAATCTAGTATGGAATTCAGAATCACAAATTCCCATCACTTACCACCAAAGATCCAAAGCTACTACTACAGTAATAAGGAAATTATGATTGAATGCAAATGTCTGCTTTCCTAAGGTAATCATTTAAAGCCCTGCTAGAATAGCTATTATTAAAAAGTCAAAAAACAACAGATGCTGGCAAGACTGTGGAGAAAAGAAAACATACTGTTGGTGGGAATGTAAGTTATTTCAGCCACTGTGGAAAGCAGTTTGGAGATTTCTCAAAGAACTTAAACCAGAATTACCATTCAATCAGCAATCCCATTACTGGGTATATACCCAAGGAAAATAAATCATTCTACAAAAAAGACACATGCACTTACATGTTCGTGGCAGCAGTATTCATGACAGCAAAGACATGGAATCAACTAGATACCCATCAATGGTGGATTGGATAAAGAAAATGTGGTACATATATACCATGGAATAGTATGCAGCCATAAAAACGAAACCATGTCCTTTGCAGCAACATGGATGCAGCTGGGGGCCATTATTCTAAGTGAATTAACACAGAAACAGAAAACCAAATACTGCATGTTCTCACTTATCAATGGGAGCTAAACATTGGGTACTCATGGACGTAAAGATGGGAACAATAGACACTGGGAACTACCAGAAGGGGGAAGGAGAGGGGAGTGCAAGAGTTGAAAAACTATCTGTTGGGTACTTTAGTCAGTACTTGGGTGATGGGATCCATACCCCAAACCTTAGCATCACACAATATACCCATGTAACAAATCTGCACATGGGCCAGGCACAGTAACTCATGCCTGTAATCCTAGCACTCTGGGAGGCCAAGGTGGGCAGACTGCTTGAGTCTAGGAGCTCGAGACCAGCCGGGGCAACATGGTGAAACCCTGTCTGTACAAAAAATACAAAAATTAGCTGGATGTGGTGGCATGCACCTGCAGTTCCAGCTACTTGGGAAGCTGAGGTGGGAGGATCACTTCAGCCCAGGAAGTGGAGTTGCCATGAGCCATGATAATGCCACTGCACTCCAGCCTGGGCAACAAAAGTGAAACTCCATCTCTAAATAAATAAATACATACATATTAGCTATGAGTACAGCTATATTCTGATTACTTTCAGCAAGTCACCAAAGTGTGGGCAGTCTTGGGGGGACCCCCTAAACAAGACTCTTGGTTTGATTTTGCATGTATTTTTAAATAGCTCATAAAAACCTAAAAAATACTGTCCTGAAGCTATTGTGCCCTTGAACTGACCACAACAAGCCTAAAACCAGGTGAAATTGGTCTTCCTAACTGCTGCCATTCTGTAGATAATGAAGTTGCTGAGAATTTAGCTCACTAGCTGTAAATCCCAAAATAATAGTCTTACTGCAACTTCCCAGGCCCTAAAAGATAAATGTTCTCCGCTAGGCAGAATGCAGAGGTTACAGCTCAGGTACGCTTAACTCGAAGCCAAGGATTTTTACACTCCATGCTTTAAAGACATTGGTCATACACGTGCCATACAGTTGAATATCATCAGCGCCAACTTCTGGGAAAGGAAGTCATTATTCTAGTGTTCGTATTCCTTGTCACATTTTTTAGGGTTGATTACAAGCAGTAATCTTGTTTGACAGAAATACAGCCCCAGCTCAGCTCACATTAGAGCCTGGCATCAGAGGAGTCATTTTGCTTTTCAAAGCTCACTAATCCCATGGAGCTGGACAGAGAGGAGTTGAAGTGCAAGATTCCGCTGGAATCCTAGTGTCTATCACTGGATTAATTCATAGTCACCATCCTTAGTCGGAAAACTCTCTGAAATGTGTCAAGATTAGACTCCCCTGCTACCTGCATTTATTACTTTAATGGGTAATAAACAACCCCTGGGTGCAAGGGAGCCAGGGCGATAAAGATAAATAAGATGCTGGCTGGCCTTAAGGAATGTACCAGTTTGTGGTTGATATACATAGGAATTCCCTCAGTGTCATGGAAGCCTACTAGTCAGCTACAATTCCAATGTCAGTATCAGAGTTTGGTTAAGAGGTCGTTCCTTCTCTCTGAGACATACTATATCTCACTCAGGAGTCACTAGCAATCAGTTTTCTCAGATAAGGCTGAATTAACACAGAAACAGAAAACCAAATACTGCATGTTCTCACTTATCAATGGGAGCTAAACATTGGGGTACTCATGGACGTAAAGATGGGAACAATAGACACTGGGAAACTACCAGAAGGGGAGGAGAGGGGGTGCAAGAGTTGAAAAACTATCTGTTGGGTACTTTAGTCAGTACTTTGGGTGATGGGATCCATACCCCAAACCTTAGCATCACACAATATACCCATGTAACAAATCTGCCACATGGGCCAGGCACAGTAACTCGATGCCTGTAATCCTAGCACTCTGGGAGGCCAAGGTGGGCAGACTGCTTGAGTCTAGGAGCTCGAGACCAGCCGGGGCACATGGTGGAAACCCTGTCTGTACAAAAATACAAAAATTAGCTGGATGTGGTGGCATGCCACCTGCAGTTCCAGCTACTTGGGGAAGCTGGAGGTGGGAGGATCACTTCAGCCCAGGAAGTGGAGTTGCCATGAGCCATGATAATGCCACTGCACTCCAGCCTGGGTGACAGGGTGAGATCCAATCTCAAAAAAAAAAAAAAAACACACAAACAAACAAAAACTGCACATGTACTCCCTGCATCCAAAATGAAAGTTGAAATTATTTTTA